GCAGCAAACACACTAGATGATCATGCTAAATTACTGACGCTGTCTGAACATTATCACAGGCTATCTTTGGCCGAACCTCTCTCACATGACCACAGAGATCATTGCGATTGCTCATCTTTCGTCTGGGACAGCCCTCAATCGTACAGTGGGCGTAAGGCACGTTTATAAAAGCCATGTTGCACTGAGGCCTAATCCTGGTTTAATCATATTAATCTGAGGCCTAATCCTGGCTTAATCTAAACCCTGCCTGTGAAACCAGGCATTATTTAAGCATAGATTGAATCATGTGGTTTAATTTGGCCAGATTTGTCAATATATCTCTGTTTTGTGTTCTACAGGAAAAATACTAACAATTGAGTTTGGAGCCAGTGCAATTTGAGTAGCATTTATATGCAGTTTTAGTTTAAGTTCGATTTTGTAAATTTTTTTAGCTTTCTCTTTTTGATTTTTTGACTTGTTGTCGCGCTATCGGCGCTCACTTTTGTTTTAGTACGTCAGTTTATGTGTTTTAGTACGTCAACTGTTTTAATTACAATATTTAAACTAAAATATTTACATTTTTAATCATTTTTCTCAACAATAACAACACTTTTTGGGGTTACATGAAGTAAATAAAGGCCTGTAAATTATGATAATACACTCTCAGAAAAAAAAGGTACAAAAGCTGTCAAGACAGTACCTTTTCAAAAGGTACACTTTTGTACTCAAAGGCTGCATATTGGTACCTAAGTGGTACATATTAGAACCTAAAATGGACATATTAGTTCCCGAAATGTACATAATAACACTTAAATGTATATTACCACCTAAAATGTACATATTAACACCTTAAATGTACCTATTAGCACCTAACATGTACATATTAACACCTAAAATGTACATATCAGCACCTAAAATGTACATATTAACACCTAAAATGGACAAAAGTTTACCTTTTGAAAAGGTACAGCCCCAGTGACAGCTTTTGTACATTTTTTTCTGAGACTGTAACTATAGCTAATGTTGTAGTCTGTTGGTGTATGTTAATATAGTTAGTTTTCATTAGTGTTAGCATGTCGGTGTGGATATTGTCTGTTGGTGTGGACACTAATATAGTTGTTGGTGTTATGATAACAGTTTTATTTTAATCGGTGTTATTTTGGGGTGAATTGTCCCTTTAAGTGTGTCTGCTAAAGCGAGGTGTTTTGCCGTTTGCTAGCTACTTCTTGGCTGCAATCTGGTGCTTTTTGTCTCCAAGTATATTCACGGATATGAAAGGGTGTCTTTCGAGCTTCAGCGTGCGCTTGGGTTTATATAAATGCTTGATAACATCTGATTAATTCCACTGACCTGCTAAATTAAAGCATCACGGAGCTTCTCGTGTGAACGGTCTGAGACGTCCGTTTAAAGCACGTTCCCTCTGAGAAATAAGTCTAATTTCACGAGCTGAAAGAGTTTAATTATAAATCATTATTGCAGCCCTTCAGGTGTGATCTCGGAGAGCCGTTATCTTTCGAGAGAAACGACTGCAGAAATCCATCGCGGTCTTCAAACGCGGTTAGATGAGCTCAGGTCAGGAGTGAAGACATGTGAGTCTTTCATGTGGAGAAACTTTACGCTAAAAGTCATGAATGATTCGCTCAAATTCCTGAACGGTAGAAGAATCGCATGTCGAGGGATATCATCTAGTACAAGTCGTAAAATCATAATTTTATTAATCTGTTATTTTTGGGGTGTGGTACTTGTACTAGTGCAAAATAAGGTTAATGGGTTTTATTATGTATTTATTGGCTTTAATCGATTGGACTTTATTTTAATGTTCATGATTTATTTATTCCAGCTGTATTATGAATGATCTTGAACTCTTTCAATTACAATCTTTTATAGTCGTGCCAGTAGATCTAGAAGAGCGAGAGTTGGCGGTGAAGTACGTACATTAAATCAGTCTGTGAGTTAATGTGACCGATGAACTGATTTAAAATTTAATAACAAACTGTCGTGACTCAATATCTTCAGATATCTGGCCTGAATTTGCTCTTTTTTTTCCACAAATGCATGTTCTGCGTTTTTATCGTGTCTGAACATGCACACTTTTTATCACAGAGAAATACTGTCCAAGATGTCCTGTGATTCATGATTCAAGTGTTTGTGATTCGCTGAGAAACTGTTTATTGTGGGATTATCAATATCAGATTTATTCACCCCTAAATGGCACATAAAAACGAAATATGTTTACATATTGAAATAAGTTTTAGATGATATCAACACTGCTGTCCTGATTTAGGTGCGTGTGTGTGTGTGTTGATGTGGTGAAGTGTTTATAGAAGAATTCGAGTCTTCACAGTGAAGTTTCTTCACTGAAACCATCAAGATCAGTATGTTCATCGAATCCCAGCAGTCACACCTCAGCGTTACCCACAATCCCCCAGCACCTAATATAACCTCTTCTCTTTCCATTCAATATACAACATAAGCAGCGCCAGTGGGATTGGTTTTCACTTTCATGTGATGTCGCCATAGAGCGCTGGTCCTCCTGAGCTGTGTCTGAAACCGCTCACTCGTTCACTCATTCACTAATCCCTATATAGTGTATGGCATTTGAGTGCACTATATCTGCAAGGAGTGAAGGAGATGAAGTGAGTGAATTCGGACGCTGACGTTTACACTGTGCGTCGGAGAGTTGGAGCTGTCGCAGAAAAGGCTTCGTCACGCGTACTGATAAAACTCCTTTTATCTTACATTACCTAGTTTATAAAATAATATTAACAACAATAACAATCATAATGACTTTATTTTGTAATTATACCTCCGTGCCAGCTTTGTAGTTTCATCGACTGAAATTGTACATTAACTCTCACGTTCACAGATGACGTGTCGTCGAGCGCCCCCCGGCGACCGTTATTATGTTCAAAACGACGATTAACGGATATTTTTCAAATCCTCCACTGGATGTAATGTAATCTCTGGTTTAAACTTGCTCGCGCCGAACTTTCATGCGCGCTCAGTTCTCTCCGCATTGGATTGTGGGAAATAGGGCTTCAGCGAGTGTACATCGAATGTACACTCGAATTCAGAGAGGATTGTGGGTAAAAGTAGTGAATGAATGTAGGGAATGATGTCGTTCACTCAGAATTCGGACACCACTACAAAATGGCCGACACCCGATATAGTGCACTATTTAGTGGATAGGGAGCGATTTCAGACACAGCTCTGGAGTCACCTGACGCTCAGTGTTTTCATCACCAACACTAGGATGGTTCACCACTCGCCTTTGAACCCGCAAACTTCAGATGGCTAGCTCTCGAGCTCTACAGCACACGAGGAAACGACTCGACTCTTCAAAAGCTGATAGGTTTGTGTGAGAGTTTATCATCACCAGCTTAGTATGAAAACAATAGCGATCGATGGAAATTGATCTGTGTGCTTATTTAACTCTTACTGTGGGAATACCATAGTACTCTGAAATATACAGTACCATGTGATTGCTATTCAAAGAATACCTTGATACTACCATGGTAAAAAACAAACAAACATGATGTTACCATGGTATATGCCAAAATAACCATGAAAACATGTCACATTTCCCCAAAACACTGTATTACCAAGCTATATGTTCACAAAAATAAAGCATCAT